GGTTGGACTCGATGATCTTGAGGGTCTCTTCCAACCAGATGATTCTAAGAACAAGTCAGTTTCTTATTTTTGTGGAGGAAAACTAGAATCCGTGGAACTTTGGGAAAAAAAAAAAATCTCTGAAAGATCAGCTGTTATGGTGATTGTTTCTGTTATGAAGCTGTTTGTTCTTTGGGGCAACTTTTACTTTGTAGAAGTAAACCAGGTCAGCATCATTGAGCCTGCTGGTGCTGCATTGTCGTGGTTAGCGTCAGCTCAGCAGCAGAGGCGTAGAGGCAGAGTTACTGCTTTGTCATGCAGCCAAAGGTGAGGTCCTTCACATTGGTCTTTCTGCATGAGATTTATCGGTGCATCATGGGGTCTCGTTTTTCTCTTGGTAAACAGGAGGGATATGGAGTAGACCTCTGCGTAGACGTGGATTTAGTCGCGGATGCTGCGTGAGCGTGGGTGGATGATGGATGCCTCTGCCTCAGAGTGCTCTAGACCGAAGGCACTGTCTCAGAGGTGGAGTCACCTCCCTAGAACTTCACTGTCCTTGAAGTCTCCTCCTTGCATAAACCACAACAATCACTGGAGGCAGGGAAGGCTTCTTTTGCTACTTTAAGCCTGACATATCTGTGTTGTGGACACGGGTGTAACTGCAGCCTGTGAAGATGTGTGTGGGTGACCTTCCAACCAGCACGGACAGCAGTGCCACCGCAGCGGGTGGCATTCCCTGCCCGCTGCGAGAGCTGCTCTAGTGGCTCGTTAGAGCTGATCTTTATCCTGCCTTGCCTGCTTGCTGGCAGGAACCTACTAGTTAGCTTAAAATTAGCTGGTGTGAATATACTCAAAGATTTCTTAGAAATACTTTTAAGGATTTCACTTCCTCTGTTCCCTGATGTGTGATCTGAGCGCAGGTGATGAGTGTTGGATGGCAGAGAGGGAAGAGGAGTTCCGGGACTCCTTGTGCTGGTGTCCGGGGAAGCTGGAACCTAAAATGCAAGAACTTGAAGTGTTCCTTGGCAGTACCCCCACTGGTGTGGGACAGCCCTCTGGGCTCCAGGAGCTCACGTTACAGCTCTGCACTGCTGCGTTTCTGCCAGAAGAGCTTACCCGGGAGCAGCCGGAGCCTGCGTCCTTGCAGCGGCAGCTCAGGTGCTCAGCAGCCCAACAAGAATCCCCGTGAGCAGTAGTGCTGGGGATACACGCAGTGGGGTGAGGAGAGGGGAGCTAGGAGGAAGCCACTGCATTTCACTGGAATGGTTTGTTCCTCCTTCTTGTCTGGGTGCTTTCCAGTTTAATCATCATCTCTTACAGGACCAGATTTCCTCAAATTGTCCCTTGTACGCTCATGGAAGCCTGCGTCCATTGAGTGACGCCCTTTTCGTGCACGAGCTGTGCTATGTTAGAAACACTCCTGTGTATTGATAATGCATCGAAGTTCTGCAAAATACTCCCCCCTGCAGTGCTGCGTGCAGCTCTGGGGTCCCAGCAGCAGAAGGACATGGAGCTGTTGGAGCGGGTC